TTGAACAGGGGAAGAAGATATTGAACAGAGGAAGGATATATTGGACAAGGGAAGGAGATTTTGACCAAGGGAAGGAGATCTTGAAAAGAGGAAGGATATCTTAAACAGGGGAAGGAGATCTTTAAAAGAGGAAGGATATCTTGAACAGGGGAAGAAGATATTGAACAGGGAAGGAGATCTTGAAAAGGGAAAGGAGATCTTGAAAATGGAAAGGAGTTCTGGAACAGGGGAAGGAGTTCAGGGATCTGAACAAATACAAATATCATAAAGAGAAATTGTCATGAAGAGACATTAGACATAGACGATAAATACAAATTAGGCAGACACCCTATAGGTCTAGCTTCTAGTCCTGTTCTATGCATGGAGCAGGACCCGTAAAATTTGTATCCGGCCCGTTAAACATCTCCTCGCATGTTTGTTTCCCATATTTAGTTTCACAATTTTGTTTTATACTTCGTTTTAAATTTAATGCCCTTTCAAAAGATAGTACTAGACTTTCATAAATTCGATTTGTCCATAAAAGATAAGGCTTCAGAGACGATCCTGTATTTTACTTAGAATAATCTCAATTAAATCTATTTTTTTTCAAGTATCTTTTTAAAAACAGAAAAAAAGGTTCTCTTACCTTTGTTCAAAGAATAAGGTTTGAAGGGACATAACATACTTTGTTTTGTACATTAAGAATAACGTAGATAGGAGAAAACAATTCAATGCACTAAAATTCTTAAAATTTTTAAATGCATTTATTCAGGACCTCGCAATAACATACACTCCAGTTGCTCATTGTGATCTTAAACTTTTTTCCTAAACATAAAGAGTATCCCATCTTAAAAGCAAACAATCGTCCGCCTCCCTTTTCAGGACTGCATCCCCCCCCATCTATCCGCGTAACAATCCGGTCAGAATAAGTTGGCCTGTACACACCTTATCTATTCTCTGCTAGGCATCATTGATTCAGGCATCCATACTTAGGTCTTTATCCTGGAAATTATTGACATTAGTTAAACTTTTAACTACTCCGTCCGACAAGTGAAGATGTTTTATGTAGAAATAGGGAAAACGATGTATAAGAGAATTAAGATAACTAAGAGAACTAAGAAAACTAAGAGAACCTAGAGAATAAAGGGAACTAAGAGAACTAAGAGAACTAAGAGAATTAAGAGAACTAAGAGAACTAAGAGAACTAAGAGAATAAAGGGAACTAAGAGAACTAAGAAAACTAAAAGAACTAAGAGCACTAAGAGAACTAAGAGAACTAAGAGAACTAAGAAAACTCAGAGAACTAAGAGAACTAAGAGAACTAAGAGAACTAAGAGAACTCAGAGAACTAAGAGAACTAAGAGAACTAAGAGCACTAAGAGAACTAAGAGAACTAAGAGAACTAAGAGAACTA